GTGTGTGTGTCTGTCTACTAGTATTCATAAAGACATACTATGTGCCTTACCAGCTCAGGCACTAGAGGAGGCCAGAGCAGCATAGGACATAATCTGTGCCAGGGAATTCAGAGCTACAGAGGAATACGAAGCCAAGACGTAAGTAATGAACGAATTCTCTAATAAGGATTAATGTTAGGAGGCAGGATGTTAGTGAGTCTTGGAGAATACTTGCCACTTAGCTAAGCAGAAGAGACGATTTTAGAAGCAGAGAACAGTGTGAGTAAAAGCCCGGAGGTGGACAAAAAACAATCATTGCCCTGGTGTGGGATATTGAGGAGAATATAGAGACTAGTTGGAGTTGGCAACCATTTAAATGTTTCCTGATTTAATTTTTCTGGTAGTTTACTCTAAAACTCTAGATAATAATATGTTTATATTTTGATTTTCCAGCTTTAGATAAAAATGTTGACTCTTGGGTATGAAAACTGTTTTTGCTTATTTGTACTGCACCCCTCTTTCTTGCTACCCTCAATATAAGTGTTACTGTTTTCCACAATGTGGTTCTCTATTGGTTACATTTGTAACTGTAAATAATCTGTATGTTATTTGTGGCTTATACATTCCCCAAAAAGATATATGGAATTTAACAGTAAGAAATAAGCTCTTACGATTTTAGACAGAACGAAGAAAAAATTGAGAATGGTGCATGTAAGTCCTGGGCTAACAGAAAAATAATTTATACTACTTTTGAAATGAAAAATAATATCTTTTTTCTTTTAGGTAGAACAAGTAAAATTACTTGACCGATTCAGTACCAGCAACAAGTCATTAACAGGAACACTCTATCTTACGGCCACACATCTATTATTTATAGACTCTCATCAAAAAGAAACCTGGGTAAGGAGCACCGCAGCTGTACTGTTTATCATAATAATAATGGACTTGGTCTGTCATGTTTTATTTTGAATGTGTATAACACAATATATAACACAATTTTTAATCATTGGTTACCTGTCTCAACCAAAATATTTTTTGGTCTCCAGATCACTCCTGCCCTCCCTTCTAATAAATCAGTTATAGAATGTGTAACATGGAATTCTATAAAATACCACACTCTTATCTCCATAAATAATTTTGAAATACCTATTGTTCCTAGGCTGGACACGGTGGCTCATGCCTGTAATCCCAGCACTTTGGGAGGC